ATTTGAAAGGCATGGTCAATGAGTCCATTGTTAAATTACAGAGGTCACAGGACACTTTCAATGATGCCTTTCAGAGTGTGCAGAAGTACCTAAATAAATGGGTACGGAACCCAAAGGAGACAAGTCGGTCTGCTCATCTTACCTCTGTGCAAGATGAGCAGAGAATTACAGCTGAGCCTATTTCCTTTAACTCAGTGGGGTCACAGGAGGGCCATATGACTGCCAGCAGGGCCAGGAGGGTGCCACTGCATTTCAGGGAGACAGGAGTTGTTCAGGGTCGTGGTGGGGTGAAGCCAAAGAAGCACAAGTAACTATAATAATGTGTTGCAAACAATAAAACCTCATGGTTTCCTGGCTTCCTGTGTCTGCCTCCGTATCCACCCTTACACTGCGTGGTTGTAAAGGTGGATTTTGTTCATTGTTTGGGTTCATTTCTCTCGGTTAATTTTTCCTTCCACTTGCTGCATGGTGCCAGGGAGGAGGGGTTGGCAATATCTCTTGCACAGGTACACAGGGGGGCTCAAGAGGTAAACAGTGGGGCTGCCAGGATGGGTCACAAGACAGAAGTGCTTGCCTGCACACTAGTGTTTTGCAAAGGCTGATGTGTCACTCCCCAGCAGCCCGGCTTGCTTTTTGCCAGCCACCAGCCACTTTGCAAAGTCACCCACAGGGGCTTATGCCTTCCCAAGCTCTTTGGCTCACCCTTCACAACCCTTCCTTGCATTTTCCCTAGATGGAAACTTTCAAAATGCACTTTTTCAAGATTAATTCATGCTCTTTTCCAGCTAGGTGCCAGGCACTGTCTCCTTTGTTTTGGAACACCAAAGCAAGGCCATGGATAGGGGCAGTGGTGTGAGGTTTAAGACCTGCTTTGCTTGCATGCAAACCCAGAGACTTGGCAAACTTTTCCGCCTTCTTTTCATGCTCTTTTCCAGCCCAGCACCAGAGTGTCTGGGTTTTTTTCACACCAAAATGAGGCTGCTGGTGGGGGTTGCCCTGCTCAAGCACTATAAATTGGGGGAACCAAAGGTCAGGGTGAACATTTGCAATATCAGTGAGGGAGACATATTTGCTGTATCATTTGCTGTATCAGTGAGGGAGGTTTGAGGCAGGTGAGGGACAACAGCACAGTGGGGGCAGAGAAGGACTCATTCCAGTCACAAGACTTGCCCCTGGGGGGCACAGCAATGCAAATCCAGGGTTTGAGAAGACTTCAGGCTGATTAAGTGGGGTGCAGTGAAGCTTTGAGTGCTATTTGATGCCCACACCTGTGACATGCGACTCAAAACAGGACATGGTGATATATTATACACCACCTTCGGTAAGTGACACCAGACACTTGTCTGTGCCCTGAGGGTGGCAGGCTCATTCCTAAGGGGGCACGAATACAAGTGACCGCCCCAGGAACAGTGCTTTGGGGGCCCCACGGAGATGGGCAGAGCGGATGGGGCTGGTGGAATTTTATGGGCACGAAGGAAGGTACACAAAGTGCACAAGAGGCACCAATGCAAATTCTGATACTCTTTCTATCCTCCCTCCCTCTGGTTTTTAGATTCCCTTCCACTTCTAGCCACAGGCTAATTGATCCCTGTTGGTGTGACAAGAGGCAGAAAGAGAAAGGAAGAAATAGAATATGAAGAGGATGGCAACACTTTGTTCAGGATTCTCTCAACAACTGAACTATTATGCATTATAATTATAGTTGACTTTCATCCTGACTTAATTTAGACTTCTGATATAATAACAGGTAATGCTAATAATAGGAGTCAATAACACTATTAATTCTAATAGTAATATATTAATAAGAGTTTGTAAATAGTAATATTAATGATGATTTATTAATGGTCAATAATAATTGTAATGGTTCAATTCGTTATCACAGCATTTCAAAGCAGGTAGATCTGCCTTATCACCCTGCACACATCACGCACATCCTGAGCCTCCACCATATGTATATATATAGCCAATGTATGATATAGACTTATGTTATATAGACTTTTAATTACAGTTTGATTCCTTATGATGAGAAAGCAGATACTGAACGTAAGGCATGTGATTACGTGCCCTCCCTGCCTCTTTCCGCTTGGGGTGGGGGGAGGGGGAAGGAGGGAAGGAAATGCCCACCTCCTGGTTCAGGCTCCTCCCTAGGTTCCTCTATTCCCATGGAGAAGAGATATATACCCTTCTGCTTTACATACTACCCTTACTGAACTTGTATTACTTCCTCCTCCTGGTTGCTGGCCACCAGTACTGCTGAGGCTTCTCTTCTGTGTACTACTTGAATTGTGGAGGCTTTCATCACAGGCTTTGGCCCAAACATCAACTTCAGTATGGTAAAAGTTGCACAAGTTCTGTAGATCCAATTCATATTATCCTAGCCCTCCTCCTGGTTGCTGGCCCTGTTTGCTAATGAGCATATTATGGAATTGTAATTAGAGGATTGTTGCTAGCCAAAAAGCAGAGGCTTTCTTCTTAGTTGCTGGCCAAGACCTCCAGCAAATTAACTTCCGGGGTCCGGGTAGTAGGCCCAGGCCTGTGGGCAAAACCCTCCCTGCCTTTCATAGTCATCTCGCCCTCCTCCTGGTTAGCTATGATCACTGCAGTGGCAGAAGCTGAGGCTTCTTCACTGGTATTGTCCCAAGCATCAGCTCAATTTGCACAAGTTCTTCAGGCCCACTTCATATATTCTTCTTGCCCTCCTCCTGGTTACTGGCCATGTCCTGTATCAGCACAAGCTGGACAAGTTCTGCAAGCTCATTTCATTCATTGCTGCAGAGGGCTCAGGTTGCAGGTGGGGCCTTCCACTAAGAAACATGAGGCTTGAGATTCTTTTCTGAATTGTGGAGGCCTTCTTCTTGATTGCTGGCCAAGACCACTCTGGCCTGGGTAGTAGATTCTTTGCTCCACTTGCCCTCTGCCTTACACCTTTCCATTGCACTCTTGGAACTGTGGAATCATTGCTGGCCACAAAGCAAGCTGTGCTCAGGAGCTACGACCACTGCAGTGGCAGAGGGCTCAGGTCACAGGTGGGGCTTTCCACTAAGAAAGCTGAGGCTTGAGTTTCTTTTCTGAATTGCAGAGGCCTTCCTCTTGGTTGCTGGCCAAGACCTCCGCAGTCTGGGTAGTAGGCCCAGGTCTGTGGACTCTTCGCCCTACTCGCCCACCTCTGCCTTACACCTCTCCATTGCAACCAAATAACTTTTGAATTGTTGCTAGCAACAAAGGAAGCTAAGATGAGCTTTCTTCACTGGCTTTGGTCCAAGCATCAGCTCAATTTACACAAGTTCTGCAGGCCCATTTCATAGTCTTTTTGCCTTTCTCATGGTTACTAGCCATGTTCCAGCAAATTTGGACTGGGAGACAAGTCATCTGACATCCACTCACCCTCTGTCTCCTTGAGTTTCTTCTCTGACTTGTGGAAGGAAGGAAGATTTTAAATAAATAAGGATTACAGAAAGTAGAAAGCTCCCTCCCCAACCTGAGGGGGCCACTCCCTCTCTCCCTAAGCTTTGTTGCCAGCAAAGATTTCAAAGTTACAATGTAAGGGAGAGTAGCATGGCCCAAATCAGCCAGCCAGCTGAGTTGGGCAATTCATCTCCACCTGAGGGGGCCCCTACCTGGAGGGGCCCCTTTGGGACCATGCCGTGACCCAGCTCTCTTCCTGCTGAGATATGTTCAGTAACCAGGAGTGGGGTGCAGGATGCCTCCCTCTCCCCCATTCACATACCTGGGGGCCCCCTCTCTCCCTCCCTAAGCTTTGTGACAGCAAAGATTCCAAAGTTACAATGTAATGGATAGTAGCATGGCCCGATTCACCCAGCCAGTTGAGTTGGGCCATTCATTTCCACCTGAGGGGTCCCCTATGGGACCATATCTGGGGTCCCCCACCTGAGGCCCCTGTGGGACCATGCCTGTCCCCCCCCCCAACCTAGCCATTTTCCTGCTGGGACATGTTCAGTAACCAGGAAGGGTGTGCAGGATGCCACCCTCCCTTCCTCCCTCCCTTCTGGGGCACAGAACCATAGCTGAACCCTAGCTGAAGACCCTAGCTGAAAGCTGAAGATATTTCCACTTGACTCCTCTTCACTATCTTCACTCTACTTTCCTTGTCACTGGACTATGGGCTAGTAGCCATCCCTGGCAAGTTCCACCTGCAAAAGTTTTCTATGAGGAGAGAGAAAAAGGAAGAAGAGGAAGTGTGGGGGGTGGTACACAGTCTAAAAACTGGACTTTTGGCTCCCCCCCCCCCACACACACACCAGGTTGGCGGGACATATTACCGAAATATCACCTGGGACTCTGCATATCCTTGGAGTCAGGTCTGTCAGGAAGCATTCTGCCCCTGGACTTTTGGTCGTGTTCTGAAATGGAATGTGATGAAGTTCAGAAGGTTTACAATATTGAAGGAAGTCATGTAACCACCCACTCCAAAGTTTCAAACTACTTGCAAAAAACTTACCATGATGGTGATGCTGCAGCTGTTGTTGGGAGATATGTCCACTACAGTGGCAGCACACAATGGGAGGTCTGGGGGTAGCAGGTGGAGGGCACATGGCAGGTGGGAAGGACAGGAGGGTACATGGATGGTGGGGGAGGGCATACACTATAGGTGGCGGGGGTTGGAAGAATTAAGAGGAGGTAGAAAATTAAAGAATTATTTGTCTCCCCCATTTTAAAATAATAATTTGTCTGAGCGGACCCATCCCAACCTGAACTGCGCTGTGAGGGGGGAGGGAGGAGTGAAGGAGTGTAAAAAAGAACAAACAGTGGCACCTACTGGCTGAAGGCCTGAACAGAGCTCCGGCTCGTGGTGAACAGGATTAATTAGAAGTCTTTGGAGTCTCTGGCTATTTGCACAAACAAATCCACAGTTGGAGCGACATAACTGGAGAGCACCACAAATTAACACATCTCCGAGTAATGTTAGTTTAAGACTGTAAATGGACTTTAGAGTGGCAGGAAGTCCCCGGTCGTGCAAACACAAATGCAGTTGCATCAGTGTAAACGGGAAATATCGTTTCATCTGCACACACCCAATAATGCCTAACATTGACATTATTGTCTTCAAAAGAAAGGTTCACTTTTACTTCCTGAATGAAAGAACATTTTAAAAGTTTATCTCTGAATGTTTAAACTTTTGCAGCTTAAAATGTCTCATTTGAAACATTTCAGTGTCATGATGTGACCCTAATTACAAAGTGTACATATTTCCTCCTGGCATATGGAATGAGTTTATTTTTAATTGAGATGTTAAGGTTTATTTTAACTCTGATTTGATCCCTTCTAACCTTTTCCACAGAACAAAGCCTAAATGAAACAAGTTATATTTATTATCATCTCGAGGCAACTGGTAGAGTATACAGAGGAAATATAGCACATTTTTCTTGCACACTTGACCTTTGTAGCTGCCTATCACTCAAAATGATTTTTGGATTTTAGCATTGCATTACTGGCAACCAGTTTTGTAACAGGCTGCAGGAAGACTAAGAAACACTGGCGCCACTTAACCCCTGACATTTTACTTTGAAATTGTGAGAGATTAACCTTGTTGGCTGTTCAGTCTCATGCAGTCCCTCATACATTTCAGTCTTACAAGGGCATAATTTCCTCCAGGCTTCAGACTGAGTCTCTGTATGCTGAAAAGGCATTAGGGCTTTCTTAAAAAGTGCAGGTCACTACTTTGCGGTACATGGCAACACTTCCTTGTTTCTTCTACCTTTGTAATGCCTGTGTATTTCCAGCACCTACTCAATCAGTGTTGCCCCATCACATACCAATGCCATTTTCCTTGCACCACTTTAGTGCCTTACCTTAGGTCTTTTTATGGTACTTGTCACCTTAATAACTTAGATTTGATTAGTGAGTGCTCTTATTTCCTTTATAACAAAGTTGATTTAGCCAAGGTAGAACTGCTGATACTGGGTCATGGGCATGAAAGCATTATGATGCTAGTTCTTTGTGGAGTTAAGTATTTGGAATAATTATGTATCAGGATCAAACTGGGGAGAGAATTTATTCCGGCCACAAAAGCTTCCTTGCTCATTTCTTCTGACCTTTATAGAGCTACATCATTTTAAAATCCTGTTCAAAATCTCAACTAGAAAGAGACTGAACTAAGAGAAACCTGATCCTTTCCTGATACCTGCTGGGTCCATTGTGTCAGATTCACTCCTAGCAAAAGTTTGCAGTCCCATTTCAGTTTTGAGTTGTTACTCTTTTCTGGCAATAGTGAATTTAACTGTATGTGAGCCTCCTAATAGGCCCTAGGATGCTTGCTATCTGTACACATCACTTTTGTTAGGTGAGCCAAAGGATATCTCACTCTAGCCAAGCTAGTAAAATTTAAGTATCCCTCAAATTGAATTCCTCTTGCAGAACTTCCACTGCTGACATAAGAAACATATCTCAATTAAAAGAGCAGCACATAAAGGATTGAATATGCAGAAGATATACAAGGAAAAAATGGACTCAGATTTGACTGTTGTGAACTAAAGTATATGTAAAGATCTTACTGGAATTGTCCTAGCTTCTCTAATGTTACTAGAGTTATTCCAGTTTTCATCAACTGAAGGCCTTAACCTCTGTTTTCTGATATCACCCATCACCTGGCAGCATGCAAGTAGCTGTAGGAATATTTCTTTGTGCTTAGAACAAAGAATAAAAACATCTGAAAGTACTGATAATAAACAGTCCGTGGATGTGCTGAGTTGTATTCGGTACATTTAGAAATGGCGTTCTTGTAGTGGAAAAGTAGGCCTGCATTTGTCTTCCTAGAAACCAAGCATCACCTGTCTGCACTGTGAACTGACAAGGATATATTAAAGGAGCTGTGCCATTCTTTTATATAAAATGTAATGTTGGAATGTGAATGGCTCTAAATAAACTAAAAACATTATGGCTTGATGCTTCTCTTCAAACCATGAAGCATAAATACAGAAAGTTAGGAACATCAATGAATTATGTGGCGTTCAATGAAAAAAATTCCTACTCTCATTACTTCTGTTCTTCCTTCAATAGCATCATGTGATCTTTCCCCTTGGAGACTTATAGAACCACAACTAGTAGCCTTTTGTTCCCTGACATTATCATTTTGTCACAGCCTTACCTTTGTCACTGGGCTCCATGAGTTACAGATGGTTTTTGACTTTTACTTTTAAATAAAGAACACTGACAGTATCTGGGAAGAAATTTTTAAAAGCGCTTCCTTGAAAAAAATGCATATGGTGCAGTTTAGAGACACCAGAAGAGGAGAAATAGGTCAAATTGGAGTGGAAACATATTAGGTAACGTTTATCAGCTTTACTGGTTTGTTAAAAGCAATGGCAAGCGTTAGCTAAAATCATAGAATATGCACTCATTCTGTATAGTCATTGGTGTGGGCGTCTTTGAAAAGTTATTCCAGAAATTAGAAGAACTGGTGCTAGCACAATTACTAAACTATGAATGCATAAATGGACATTTCAATATTCTTATCTGGAAACTGCACCTCCCAGAAAACTTTGCACAAACCTGAGAACAGTTGTGAGTACAATGACTTATGAGTATACTGATATTACATACAGCCTTTTCAGGTTGATGTGAAATGGTGCCATCAGTCAGCTACTGAAATGACACTTCTGTATATTGACATGCTAGTCTTCCTGAACATCAGAGCAATGACTTAGATTAGGAAATAAGACTTCAGTAAAGTGAGAAAAATGGTGTCCAGAGTCTGCATGTTGTCCAGGCAATGGCAAGCCTCTTTTTGATCTTAAAAGTGAACTATAGTAATAAGCAGAGATTCCTGCGGGAGTTTTCTTGGTCCAAATGGTAGAAATTGCTTTGGTTCATTGCACAGACAGCTTTTAGCTTTTGATGGTTGTGCAATTCCCCACCGCCTAATTATTTCTGGTTCATTAGAGTTGTGTTTGGCAATACAGATGATACCTGCAATCCATATATTTTCAAGTCGGGAAGAGCTATACGGTCATAGACAATGCATAAACACTGACAGTTGGGGGGCACAGCTCTGCACTACTGCAGTCCCCATTGCTGTCAGGTGCTGGCTCCAGCCAGGCTTCAGCCCCATGTCTGCACCTTGCCATCAGTGCAGAAATCTGAGGGGACAGTGCCCCCTGTCTCCTTGATACAGTGCCAGTTCATATGCTACTGCTTGTTCCCACAAATCTAGGGCTGCCTGGCTGACTATCCTCCATAGGCAAGATTTAGCTAGTACTTGTAGTCTAAGGCAGTGGTTCCCAAACTGACAGAATACACGCCACCAATTTAAAATGATACAACCTTAAGTACCATCAGCACCTTTTTGTCATGTAAAGTAATTATAATAAATCTGTTAACACATACCACTGACAGGCTGTCTGCGTACCACTGGTGTTATGTGTACCACAGATTGGGAACCGCTAATTTAAGGGAAAGGAGACAGCAAAATGGATAAAATTATTTCACTTCATTTAACAAAGGTATTGCTCTGCAGGTTCATAGTTTAAGGGTTTCATCAGAAACCCACTTCTCTCTGACCGTTCAGACAGCAATGATGGCCAGGTTTGCTATTTGCATAAAACTTTCCTTTCAGATGTAGATGTAGATCTTGCTAGTACTATCCCATGCCTTTGAAGCCCAGATTACTGTAGTACCCTCTGCTTGGGCCTATGTCTGAAAGCTATTGCAAAATGTCAGGTAATAAAGAATTCAGTGGCTACCTAATTTAGTAGAAATTCCCAAAGGGCTCACATGCCAAAAGTCTAAGACATTTGCTGGATTCCAGTTTCTTAGGCCAGCACCTTGTATCAACACCCACAGTGTTCACACTACATGTGCTCCAATATGTTCTAATTAGATTAACAATTAATTGAGTCTTTGCAATTTAATCTGTGATTTAATTTGCAATTTAATCTGTGATTAATCAAGTCCACTGGAGCATTCTAATTAAAATGCTCCAGTGTACCTCACCATCACTTATATTAAAGTGACCCTGAGAGCACTTTAACTAAAACTCACCAAATGAGCCTTAGTTAAAGGACCTCTGCAGGTAGTGGAGCAAATTTCATTGGTTTCATGGTTTCATAGTTTGTAGGGTCAGAAGGGACCTGAGCAGATCATCGAGTCCAACCCCCTGCCATGGCAGGAAAGAGTACTGGGGTCAAACGACCCCAGCAAGGTGTACATCAAGCCTCCTCTTAAAGACCCCAGGGTAGGAGCCAGCACCACCTTGCTTGGAAGTTGGTTCCAGATCCTAGCTGCCCTGACCGTGAAGTACCGCCTCCTGATGTCTAGTCTGAATCTACCCTCTGCCAGCTTGTGACCGTTATTCCTAATCACTCCTGGTAGTGCTCAGGGGGACAGGGATTCTCCCAATGCCTGCTGGTCCCCTCTGACTAATTTGTAACAGGCCACTAGATCCCCCTTCAGCCTTCTCTTGTGGAGGCTG